TACAACAATCATCCTCGATTCTCTCTCTCCACTCGTCGATCCACCACCTACATTCGCCGCGAGAAAGCGGCGGTGGAGAGACACAAACTCGCTAATCTCAACTCTGTAAAGCCGACAATGTCGCCGTCGATAGTCTTGGATCAATTCATTCTAGGAACATCTTATGCTTCCTTATTCGCGTTTGTGATTCTTCTATACGTTTTGCGTTGGGGTAGTAAAGATGTGAATGTGAATCGGAGTAAGAAGAATCGTGGGTTTGTAATTGATTCAGCTCAGAACGACGCCGTATCCAAGAATCTTGCGACAGAGGGTGATTCCGGCACCGATGTTATCATCGTCGGAGCTGGTGTTGCCGGTGCTGCTCTTGCTTATACTCTCGGCAAGGTTAAGTCTCCAAAATCATATTTTTCTAACTTGTTTCGATTTCGATTGTATCTTATTGTTTATATTATTATTATTCAATGTAATAAGAAAACGATTCCATACATAATAAGAACTTATTAAATAATACTTTAATTTGGATCATAAGAATGGTGTGATCTTTAGTTTCCTGCAACATTGGAGATAGATATGCTTGTTTCTTGGTACTTGCTCTAAGTGTGTGTGTGTGTTCAAGACGTAAGTTCTTGTCTGATTTTTGGCCTTTGTTGTGTGGTTGCAGGAAGGACGACGAGTTCTTGTCATAGAAAGAGACTTGTCTGAGCAAGACAGAATCGTCGGTGAATTGCTACAACCTGGTGGTTACTTGAAGTTAATTGAGCTCGGTCTTGAAGGTAGAGACGCATGAGCTTATACAACTATATACTTAATTGGTTTTTTGGTAGGTATGTTTTAATAAATTCATTGTATAACTTAACTTGAGTGTAGACTGTGTGAAGAATATAGATGCTCAACGAGTTCTTGGTTATGCTCTCTTCAAAGATGGGAAGCATACTAAACTTTCTTACCCCTTGGAAACATTTGATTCGGATGTAGCCGGGAGAAGCTTCCACAATGGGAGATTTGTGCAGAGAATGCGAGAAAAAGCCGCTTCTCTTTCAAAGTAATCATTTTGATTCCTTTAGATCTAGCTGTTCATACTTAGATTCTGCTTGCTCTTATGCTTTGTTTGGGATTCAGTGTACGATTGGAGCAAGGAACAGTTATGTCATTGCTTGAAGAAAATGGGAAAATCGAAGGGGTTCAATACAAAACAAAGGAAGGCAATGAAGTTAGATCATATGCTCCTCTCACAATTGTATGTGATGGTTGTTTCTCCAACTTGCGTCGCTCTCTCTGCAAACCTAAGGTGGCCTCTGTTCTCTCTTACATTAGTAATTATTAGGAGGGAAATTCTCCTTTTATTTGTGTGTGGAACTTAACTCAGTTTGATATCTAATCAGGTGGATGTCCCTTCTACTTTTGTGGGTCTTGTCTTGGAGAACTGTGAACTCCCATTTGCAAATCACGGGCATGTTGTTCTCGCTGACCCATCGCCCATCCTGTTATATCCCATAAGCAGTTCAGAAGTCCGTTGTTTAGTCGATGTACCGGGTCAAAAAGTTCCTCCCATTGCAAATGGTGAAATGGCAAAGTATCTGAAAACACAAGTTGCGCCTCAAGTACCACCTGAGATTCGTGAAGCCTTCATCGCCGCAGTTGAAAAGGGTAATATCAGAACCATGCCAAACCGAAGCATGCCAGCTAATCCTGTTCCTACTCCTGGTGCACTTCTTCTGGGTGATGCATTCAACATGCGACATCCTTTAACTGGTGGTGGGATGACCGTGGCATTGGCGGATATTGTTATAATCCGTGATCTTCTAAGGCCAATTTGCAACCTTAATGATATAAAAACACTGTCTAAGTATATCGAATCCTTTTACACACTGCGGAAAGTAAGCACCTAGAGCTAAACAAACGTTTCCAATGTTGTGTTGATTCAACTTTTTTTTTTTTATGGTGTTCTGTGTGGCCTTACGCAGCCTGTAGCATCTACCATTAATACATTGGCGGACGCGTTGTACAAAGTCTTTTTAGCATCTTCCGATGAAGCAAGAACGGAAATGCGTGAAGCTTGCTTCGATTATCTTAGCCTTGGAGGTGTTTGCTCATCTGGTCCAGTTGCATTGCTCTCTGGTTTAAACCCTCGTCCCCTGAGTTTAATTCTTCACTTCTTCGCTGTGGCAATTTACGCTGTTGGTCGTTTACTGCTACCATTTCCTTCGATTAAAAGCTTTTATCTTGGAGCTGGGATAATCTCGGTATGTTATTCTGCTCATCCTCTGAAACAAAATTGCTTCTACAATACACAAGCATCTGCACAAAAAGATTGACCTTTGATATTTCCTCTTGCACAGAGTGCTTCAGGCATCATCTTTCCCATAATTAAAGCAGAAGGAGTGAGGCAAATGTTCTTCCCTCGTACTATCGCTGCCATATACCGCACTCCTCCTGCTCAATGATGCATTAGAGCTATGGGGACATTGAATGATCAAAAGTATTCAGACAAATGCTATAGCTTTAAATCTAATTGTATCTAATGATAATCATGTGGCTGCTTAGGCAAAGATAAACAAATGTAAACATAGCTCCGTAGGTTCCAGCGTTGTTAACCATTGGCGTGGTGATCATCTTGGCACCAATGACCAATCCGAACCTCATACACACAAGATTGATAT